TATCTGATATGAAGACATTGCCGAACAAATTCAAATCAAATTATGCATCAAATTTATGAATGTCAACAAAAGGAACACACGCGACATATTCAGCATTATTATTTACTTTGTATATACGGGAAGAGTTATTCCGAATTTTGCAAGCTCCTACTATAGTAAAATTTATTAAACAATTATCTAATTAAAAATCTATATACCAACGGTAGGCAAACGTGGCTCTTTGAGCCAAATGCGGCTCTTTGAATTAAACTTGTAAGAAATAAGTAATTATTCGTTTAGTCAGTGAACTGTGTCAGGATGAGAATTCAGGATTTGTTTTCTTACGTTTTCAATCTTATACTTTTTACAGGTCTATTCTGCGCTGGTAACAAATTTTATAACCGGTAATTAAAGTGTCTGTCAATTTTTAAACCTTTTTCGCATTCTGTGCTCTCTTGTAACCGGTAAATTTGGTTACTATCTCATAAGCTGATAACAAAATATTGCCCCGTGAAATATGCAATACAGAAATTTCCACAATTCTTCATAGCTGAGTTGCTGAATATTTTCACTGCATTACCAACGTACCTAGAATCGCGGTGACAAGAAGTGGTAACATTTATTGGTAATAAAATTTTCCGGTCACAAAATCTTCGGTAACGTGCAGAATAGACCTGTTAATGTAAACAAAAATTCTATCAGCTGTTCGTCTAACTTACAAGTTTCTGGAAATTTTCTGTTTGCGTACTATTTTGGATATTTTTCTCTTGTAAGAGAACAGATGATATTTCGCCGGAATTTCGCTTTTGGACATTTTTTACTGGAGATTTTAAACGAACGTACCTATTGACTCTCCAACATTTAACAGAATTGTTACGAACGGCTTTAACTGACCAAAAACCAGATTTTGAAAGTCTCGCCAAAGGGATCTTTTGAATTTTCTTTTATATCTACCTTACAATATAATAATAATATAAAAAGTTTTTCATTTCTAACAATAATTTTAGTTAAAAATAAAATTTTTGTTTTCTTGTTCTTTTTTTGTGGCTCTTTGTAGCATTTAGATCTTATATGGGGCTCTTTTCGGCCTCGGCCTTGCCCACCCCTGCTATATACATTTTCATACAAGGCAGGATTAAACAGTATTAAAAATATGCTGCAGAAACACAACAGCAAACAACAGCTGAGCTAAGAAGCAATGACATGCTATAACAATATGTTTGAGATGGAATCACAGGGCATAGCAATGCATGAAATTTTTGAAAATGACATTTTAATAGATACGCTGGGAAGAAGTTAAAAAAATGTTTAAATTTATATTTTGTTACCTACTTCACCGATTTGAAATCTGAAAACTATACCTTTCATGAGCATGGTCCGATATTTGTAAGTTGTAAGTACCAGAATAAGAAGAGATAGACTCATTAAAATGTGTAATTATGTATGTGCCAGAACATTGAGCTGAGGCGACTTAGGCTTATGGCAACCGAACTTCAGTTGGGTGGCCACTGGCTGAAATGGTTTTACAGATGGCAACTGCAAGCTGGCAACTGAGTTGCTATATTGGCAAAGGCATTTTTGTGGTCGCTGCGGTAATAATCGAAGATTGTATACCTACATATGTATAAGGTAAACTTCAAAGTCTAGGGGGGAAGGCTCGAGCCCCCCCCTGCTCCTACGTAGCGACGCCCATGGATGTGAATAGTATCGGGTATCGAATAGGTTGTATTTGATACTGTTGAGCAATTTCAGTATTCGATGAGTATTGAAAAAATATGACGATACTTCGATACTCAAACATCATCGTTAAAAAAGATTTCCATAGCAAGCGTCGCCAAAGTAAAGTAACGGGTTGCAAAATTTACAATTTTTTGAATGGAGAATGGTTGAGGAGCAGTGCATAATCAGTTTTCAAAATGATAATTTACCGGAACACAACGTGGATCAACAAACGGCAATTCTCTTTCGAGTGATTTTGATCAAAAGTCTCACAAAGTTATTTTAGCGTCTGACATAGTCGAGGGTAATCAACATACATATTCAAGAAGACTTATTGGAGAGCCATAGAGATCCCAACTAGCTGAAATAGTTAAAAATTATTTATGGTAAGTATACAAAGGTAACAATAAGCTACAACAGCAGGTCAGTAGTTTTTATGCAAAAAGTCACTATTTATTTATATTTTGCTCACAAAAGCGGCTATAGCTTTTTTATACCCGAGCGCACTTGTGCACAAGGGTATATTAATTTTGTTCACATAACGGTTGTTTGTAACAGCCAAAACGAATCGAGATAGATATAGACAAATGTATACAAAAATGCTCAGAATGAATAGAGAAGTCGATTAAGCCATGTCTGTTTGTCCGTCCGTCTGTCCGTCTGTCCATCCGTCTGTGTACACGATAACTCGAGCAAAAATTTAGATATCTCAACGAAATTTGGTATGTAGGTTTCCGTTAATCCAAGGTAGGTTGCTATTGAAAATGGGCGAAATCGGACAGTAACCACGCCCACTTCCCATATAACGGTAATTTCCAGAAATACGAAAACTGCGATATTTTAGTAACTACTGAAGATAATTCACTCCAAATTGATATTTACAATAATTTTCAGACGAAAAATAAGAAGGTTGTAAATTTTTGGAAAATGGGCGTAGCAAGGACCACTTATGGTAACATGTGTATATCTTGGTAACCGCTGTACCAATTTCTTCAAAACTTGGCTGAAAATTTAAAAAATCGGACAATAACCACGCCCACATCCCATATAACGGTAATTTTCAGAAATACGAAAACTGCGATATTTTAGTAACTACTGAAGATAATTCACTCAAAATGATATTTACAATAAATTTCAGACGAAAAATAAGAATATTATAAATTTTTAGAAAATGGGCGTAGCCACGCCCACTTATGGTTACATATGCATATCTTGGTAACCGCTGCACCAATTTCTTCCAAACTTGGCACAGTTGTTAGCCTGGGTACAGCATACTAACTGGCCGAAAATTTAAAAAATGGGACAATAACCACGCCCACATCCAAAATAACGGAAATTTAGAGAAATACAAAATCTTCGATAAATCAGAAAATATTAAAGCTAATTTATTCAAAATTGATGCTTGGAACAATTCTTTACTAATACGTTTATGGTAAAATTTTGGAAAATGGGCGTGGCACCGCCCACTTATGATCACATATATGTATATCGGTAACCGTTATACCAATTTGTACCAAACTCGGTATTTTTATTGTTCTTGCCACATGAAAGCAAAACGTTGAAAATTATTGAAATCGGACTAAAATTACGGCCGCTTTTCATATAACGGTATATTTCAGAAATGCTTGAAACTGCAATATTTCGAAATTTAAGGACGCTAGTTTACTCAAAATTGATACACCCCTGACCTTCTAGCGGTAGCTTTCAAAGAGGTGAAAAAACATATATTTAACACTTGCGCCGGGTATTTAACTTTCGGCTCCGCCCGAACTTAGCCTTTCTTACTTGTTTCTATTTAAAATAGTATGTATGATACCTTTCTGAAGAATTCGTGAAAATGGGCCGTTTTTTATGTAATGTGACCAATACATTTTCTTTCACCACAGATAGTCAAACTTGGTAAAGAAAATACCAAAAAGTTAAAAATCCCAAATGTAATGGTTCCTTGCATTTGAATATGGTAAAGTAACTATCTGGAGGTATTTTAAGGAAACAATTAACTAAGTATAGCCATGCTTGTACATGCAGTTAAAGAAACACATGAAAATGCCCGATTTTTTTAATTGGTACTGATTTCGATAAGAAAAACTGGTGCAGAACTAAATTTTGATCAACCGCTTTTTATGTACATAGCAATGCCTGCAGGTGTAGCCAAGGTGTATTAAACAAGGTGTGATTGACAATTCAGTGCGGCTCTCTTTTAAGGTACTATAATGTCAAAAAGTATAAACAAACGAATTAACCCTTAGCTTCAATGCATCTTGTCAGCACTGATGCTCCAGGCTTTTATTTCAATTATAGTTTTGTTTTACTTACATTACCTGGAATATATATATTTTGTGAATAAAATAAAACAAATTGTTTATAAAATAGTTTTAGCAATTTTCTTGTTTTTAATTGCCCGAGTTTTATGCTTTTGTGCGTTTATTTTTATATTAAAATTGTTTATCCTAAACATTTATTTTTGAAAATAATTTTTTTCATGCGAAATAGTTTTCCATTAAAGACTTTGCTTCGAGCACTTTCAAATTAAGCTCTTCCATACTTGCTTGCATGGTTTTAATTATTTCGGTGAGAAGAAATATTTCTGTTATCAACGTGCATTCTAAAGAGTCGCCTGTTTGAGTTTGGACATCAACAAAGAATGTATCCTGATCGCGTACTATAACCTCACTTGTATCAGTTATTTCGTATGGCATTGGGACTGCGCCTGGGTATAAACTAGCTCGTTTGAAAGTGCTTGATTCGGACGAACAACTAATGAAATCACTTTCCTTGAAGTGGTTTTCACAAACGCGAGATGAATCACGTAGTACAACACCACAGCTTTCTTCCCATCGCTGCCGTCTTAATTCGCCGTTAATGCCGTTATTACCCAACTTTAAATGTACTTACTTGCTCTCCTCGGCGGTATATCTCTTAACAATTTCACGTTTATTAAGAAATTTTTTTGCTGGAAAAATTTGTGTGTAACTTTTTTTTAAACAAATTCAAATTTGAAAGAAAAAAATCAAATGGGTTAAGAATTCATTTCAGTTTGACATTATAGCCTGTTTCTTATGAGAGCAATGTCAAAATCAATCACACTTTGTTGAATACATTTTGGGTGTAGCATGGAAACAAATCAAACTAACGAAATGAATGCCAACCTAATGCAAATCTTTCATAAAAATTTTATTTCAAATACTATTACCCATGACGTGCGAAAAGTATACATATTTCTGTATGTTTTCAAAAAATATATATATAAACATTGTAAGCACTGAAATTAAAAAAAAAAAACAATAAATAAAAAATAAATGTTTGAGATTTACAATACAATTGATTTCATTTCATATTTCAATAAGATGGTGGAGGCACACTTGTGCATGTAAATCGATAAAGAACTATGGTGTAGTTGATCATCTATCTTCTTAATGCGTTTTTGGACCTCAACCTCACTTTTTGCCGAACGTTAACGAATGCATGAATCAGTTTTTTTATTTATTCCTTCTTCGGTTCTTCATTTGGAATTTCGGGGTATTCGAGTTTTACGCCGGGCTCGCAGGTGAAAATCGGGCAACAGTAAGGAAAAGGTGCTGTCTTGTTGGTTTTCTCGGTGTCCAATTTGCACTTCTCGTTGGCCAATGGCAGCGGACCACAGTCCTCGACTAATTCGAGCAATCTGTTTGAAGAATAAAATGATGGGAAGTTTTAGTTTAAAGTAATGCTTGTCTAACATTTATAAGTAAAAAACTAAATATACTTGGCGGGCTTTTCATCGTTCTGCACACAAGTTGAGCGTCCGCAAAATGGTGTCAGCTCCCATGTTTTGCCTGGTTCGACCGTAGCACAGCGCGTAGAGGCAAAGCACATGCCAGGGAAATCTGTAGAAAAACATGGAAAATGGAAAGAGGTTATTTAATTATTTTTCAAGGTGAGCCAATAATTTTATTTTCAACTTTCAACAATGAAAATCGTACTGAAAGGAAATACTGCGTGCTCAAGGAGTACGCGAGTACTCTTAAGCTAGATGAAATTTTTATATTTATACCCGAGCGCACTTGTGCGTAAGACATATATGTATATTAGACTGCATCACCAAAAAAAGTTGCGGTTTTTCCGGCGGGATTACAAAACCTAGTATATTTTAAAACTTCTACCAAAATATTTCGGAAAAATATTAAGATTTATGTGAGCTGGACCGGTTTTTTGGAAATCCCATCAGATGACAAAACAGTTTAAGTTTAAAAAATCTACATAAAAATGTTAAAAAATTGTATCAACGGAATCATAATAATGAGATTTTTGATGCTGTTTTTTAACTTTTTTCAAAGATTTGTGTAAAAAAAACTTCGACAACTGCTCAAAAACTTTACCGATATAGACTTATGAGGTATCAGTGGAAAGGTATTTGCTCACCTTTTTTATTTCTTTGCAAAAAACTCATTCACGTCCAATTTTTTCTTTATCAAATACCAACACATCTTAATTCAACATGGAATGACACTCGTTTATTTTACCATCCCCTCCCATACTTTGAATGAGCTTATTCGCAAAGAAATTAAAAGGGCGAGAAAATACCTTACCAATGATACCTCATAAGTCTAAATTTGTAAGGTTTTGGCTGAGTTATTCAAGTTTTTCTTAAACCAGTCTTTGAAAAAAGTTCAAAAACTGTATCAAAAATCTCATTATTATGATTTCGTAAAAAATTTTTTAAATATTTTTATGCAAACTTTTTAAGTTTAAACTGTTTAGTCATCTGAGAAAATTTTTTTCAAAAAATATAAAAAAAACTGCTTTAATAATAAAAAACTCAATTTTTGAAGGTATTTTCAAATCGGTCCAATCTATCTATCTGAATCTATGAATAAGCGCCATTCACATGGCTTCCAAACTCCTTTATAAGGCACGATGCAGAAAATAAAGGGGACGCCATTCGCTAACCCTCTCTTCGTCGATTTGGCAGCATCCACTCATTCGCTGACGTCACACAATACTTTTGTTTACATTTTCTTTTGAGCAAACCTTTCGATACTGATTTCAGCTTGGTGCTTTTCGCACTAAACTTAGTACTTTTCTGTATTCAAAAGGCGAATATTTTTGAGTTTGGTACTGGTGCGTTTTTGGGGCTTTTGTTTTTAGTTTAAAGACACCAAATTTGTAAATCTTAAAAAAAGGGAAGCAAAATTTACTGCACCCTTAAGTGTTGTAAACAACTTTACAAAAATGGAAACAAAGTTATGGCACAATGGCAATCATAAGCTGAGAGCATATGTTTGCCAACGTCCACTCATGCCAGAAGAAATCGACCGTCGAGCAAAAAACATCGATTTTTATTAATTTGCATCCCAAAAAAAATTTGGTGCTTTTCCCAGAAAAAACGCAATTTGGGTTTAAGTGTTTTTTAAAATTCAAAACTTTCGCAACACTGCCTTTTGTTTGGTTCTTCCCCTTCTTCTTGTTGAATTCGTCTTTTCTCTCCCATTCTTGTATTTGATGACGTCATGCCCGGTTGCTCTCAGCTCGATTGGCGTAAGATATAAGAAGACTGATAATCGGACATTTCTTCTGATTCTTCACGGTAATCGTCCATTGATCGTAAACACGTACATTCATCTGTCACTAAATCGTCTTCTTGGAAGAGTTTGGTACGATTAAGATTTTATGGTAATTTTTCGTGAAAGTATTTTAGGATTCTCGATTTTACATTCATTGTTCCCAGAAAAACCAGGAGTCTAAATATTCAATTCCGATCCCGTCCATCCCGACATTAAATTTTTAGTTCCCGAACCAGGGATGATAAATGAGTTTTATAATTTTGTACCAAATGGCCAACAAAAATGCATGTACCAAATGGCCAACAAAAAGCCACAATAACATTGATAAAAATGCACTAAATTAGCAGAAAAAGTACCAGCATTTTAAGGACCATACATAAAAAGTTATGGGCCTTTTTACAGTGACGAGATAACTCTCATTCGGCAGTTAACTACAGGGGTTCAGTACAAAAATTGAGAGTTAAAGAGTTTGAGTTAACCCCCCACTGTGAAAACGGCACTATATATTTTAAAATAGATAAAATTCTCTATATAAAAATTGTTTGCCGAAATTTAAAATACATAAGAAAACATGTCGGCCGCTGTGGTGTAGTGGTAAGCAGTGCGCGCTTTCACTCATCAGCACCTGGGTTCAAACCCTGGTCAAAACAACATCCCAAAAAAATATAGAAAAAAGGTTTTTTCTTAACAGCGGTAGTCCCTCGGCAAGCAATGGCAAACCTCCGAGTGTATTTCTGCCATGGAAAACAGCTTCTCATTAAAATACAATCGCCGTTCGGAGTCGGCGTAAAACTGTAGGTCCCCCGCTTTGTGTGACAACATCAAGGCGCACGCCACAAGTCAGAGGAGAAGCTCGGCCAAACACTAACATATGTGTAAGCGCCAATCTATTA